GTGTAGGGACCCTAAGGGAAGGCGATTTAACTGTTTCCTCAAACGCGCTTCGCACTGGCCGTCCATATTACTGAAACGGAAAACGGGGCAAGAGCTAAACTCTGGTGTTGCGGGAAGGAATTTATTTTAAGGCTCGCTGTTATCCACGTATGTTTGCAAATTATTTATAACCTGCTTGACGACAGGTTTTGGAAGGGCAGCCGTCAGGGACCCGTATTACCACTGTCTTTGCAAAAGACTTGGATGCTGGAAACAACAGTGCGGTGTTATATTCAATAGAATCAGGTAAGAATTTAAAGTGTTATTTGTAAGAAAAGATACGTTGAAATAACTGGAGTTTTAGAGTTGCCATGTGTGCATATAGGATTTTATGTCTGTTAGAATAAAGGTGCCTGTGTAAATAGGAATCGGGACCATTATAAGTCTTACGAAGTATCTGAGGAGGTGCAAGCAGCTACCTTTCCTCCCTCCCCCTCTGCCCCATCTTCCCAGGAGTTTGGTTGCTTTGCGGCTGGCCAAAGAGTGTTCTAATAGCACTCAGTAAAGATTAGGACCATGATATTGTACTGTACAGCTTAGTGTTTCAGTCAGTTGTTTAACATCTTAAAGGAAAGATGATCTCCCTTTTCCCATGACCAATTGAAAATTTTCCTGCTAAAAGAGCAGTTCATGACAGTCTGAGACGAGGATCAGAAGGCTCAGCAGATAATCTGGGCAAACAGTGAGGCTTGTGGTTTTTAGTTCATGTTTCAACCTGTATTTAGCACTGTGTTAGCCTGACATAGCGTGACTGCTTAAAACCACTTTTCCTCTTTAGTTTTCCCCATAATTCCTACACATAGTAGTTCACTTCTGGGGTATACTATAGGATCTGGTTTTGTTTGCAATGACAGAGCAGTCCTAGACTAGAACGTGAGTGAGACTGGGGCATTAATACTGGTAAGAGTCATAGATGTGATCTCTGGTTTTGACACATACCACTTGCTATATTGTTATGCAAGAGAGAACTCTGTCTGTAACCAGTGAGGAAAACATGTCTGTTCCTCCTGCTTTGCTTCACTATTGGTTCAAAACAGCAAGAGGTGCCAAGAACAGAACTATTTCTTTTATTTTGGTACCTGCTTTTTTCTACCAGTAATCAATACCTTTTAAGCTTGATATTTGTAACCTATAGCAATTTGCACATAGAGCGTACTCTTTCATCAAAGCAAGAGAACATTTCTGATATTTCCATCCACTCAGTGCATTTCCTCAGTTGTTCTTTTCTGTGTGGGTAGAGCTCCAGTGTAGGCTTGGTTGGTTTGAACTCATTTGCAATTTGTCACTGCAGAGTAAAGAACAAAAAACTGCCAAGCTACATTACTCCTCACTCTTAAAGAGCAAGGGAATCTGTAGCTTCTGCTTGCTAAGGCTGAAATTGCCAAAAGATTCACGTGGATTATGTTATACTGTGTCTTTACGTACCCTTTTGACTTCTGTGGGGTAATGGAAGGACTTTAAGATCCAAATCCACAAGAAGTGAACTAACTGCTCTCTTCCACCAAGAGATGCTTAAAAAAATGAGACGTTTAACAACTCTATTGAAAAGCTTGCAGTTGAAATATATGTAGATCATAAAAGACTGTAGGGTCAGTTTATGGCCATACTTTTATTGCCTTAATTTGGATGCAAGTGACTGCCTCTTCCAGGGGGAATTGGAGAGAATCATAGACTTCTGCATTGTGAATTACAAGATTTTGCACATAATGATCCCCCTGAAGAAAAAAGGAATGAGTAGTACCCAACCCTTTGTTTGAAGGTTGATGGCCAGGCAACATGGGAAGTGTTCTTCAGGGGTCTCTGCCTGTCTGTATATTTAACTATATCCTCTTCCTCAAACAGCACATTGGATTTTCTTACTGGCTTCACTGTAGAGCCCCAGAGGGGAGTAAGTAAGAGTTCAAATTATAAAAATGACTAGCAACACAAAATACGACTGATCTTGCAAATCCTTTCTCTAGAAAGAACAGAAGGATAAAAACAGCAGCAAAAAAAAAACACACTAAAAGAGCCCTCCCAGCCTTGGAACTAGACATTTTCCTGATAAACAAACCCAAAAACAGCTGAGCTTCTCTGATACTGATTTTTGTTGTTAGTTGGCTTACAGCCTTTAACATCTGGTCTTCTGTTTCATGGTGAAGTTCTTGCCTGGTTTGTGTTTAAAATTGTATTTTCTAATTCTGGGACATTGTTCAGTACTAAAATATGAAAAAAGAAATATGATCTGATTTACAGCCATATTTGTTAAACACAGAGACATCGGGTTAATTGGATGACTGCATGCGGACCAGTGCTCTTTTCAGCAGTTGAGGTACTGCCACAAGATTGAGAGCCGTGAGTGTCAGCGTCAGCTATTCAGCTTGTAAGAGTCACTGGATAATTTTTAATGTTCTTGAGACCTTAAAGAAATGCCAAGATAGCAGCAATAGATTAAGCAATGCAGGAGGGCTAATGGCAAATGCCAACAGATTAGGTAAGGAAAGAAATCTGTAAAAGAACTATGATATTTACACCACAGATGAATTTTAGCCTTCAGAGAAGTGTCTCCTTCAAAATTCCCCTCCCTCTTCCCAGATAATCAAAACAAATCATCCTTAAACATTCATGTGTATGGAAATGCATGATCATGTAGCCATACCTCCACTTGCCTGTTATCACTGAAAGAGTAACCCAATTCAGAGGGAGGTGAATCCCTGCGATGCGTACTGTTCCTTACTGACACTGGCAGTTGCAAAGTGATTTGCCTGGCCTTCGTTACAACTGTCAGTAGGTTATAGTATAGCATTTATAACAAAAATTAGTCTGTATTTACAGTGCATCATAAACTATTGCTTTGCGTGTTCAGACTAGCACTGGCAAAGTGGAGGCATTTACAGTTACATTTGGACCAGTTCTGTAGATACATTAGCTGTTGACTACCAGAGTGCTAGGAGTGTGCACTGCTAACACACTCAAGTTGGCAAGTGTTATACGTATGTCTGTGGAAAAGTACTTGTTCTGCAGGGTGATTTGCAAGCAGCATGCAGGGAGCATTTCTAGACTTGCAGAGGGCAGTGTTTCTGCAGCAGCCCTGTGGTGTTGAAGCTCTTTGGGAGCCATGGCACCACCTACCTCTTTTCTGTTGAGAGAAACAGCTTTTCTTTCATCTCAAAGGATAATGAGATGGGCAAGGCACCAAGTATTTTAAAACACAGGAAAGATCAGTTCTTCAGGAAATTAGGTAAAAGTATGTAGCCTACTATGACTGTATACTGAGGTCATGAACATCTGAGAAAACTCTAGTGTTACTTTCTGTCTGCTTTCTGGGCCATTTCATGTGAATGGCGGTCCCTGGAATGCTTGAATCTTCTGCCAAAGTTCACAGCCACACATTGGCTGGGGTTTTTCAGGTCATCTTTTTTGTCCAAAACTGCAGTTTCTATGAGTGTGTTTGAGAGCACAGAGTTGAGAAAGTGCTTGGGCTTTGGAGAACCTCATGTAAACAAAAGCCTGATCAATAGATTGAACAATGCAGAGGCGGAAAAGTGAAAAAGCATATCCATTTATTGGCAGGTTAGGGTAAGAGTTGCAAGCACAAGAAGAGATTGTGACTATTAGAGTCTAGTCGAGAGATTTGATTTTTTTTTTTTTCTGTTCCATTCTTTATTTGCTCTTCTAAATTTCCTTCTTTCATATCCATTGCTTTTATACTTTCTTACTTTTCTCTTCATACGAAAAGGGATATCTTTAGTGTGTATGATATAAGCAGCAGTTGCTTAATACAGATGACTTACGGAGATGTAGGCTGAGCAAAGTGCAGGGAGCGTGAGCTTTTAGAGCAATGACTGGCATACCCTTGGAGTATAAAATGTAAAACTGCCTTTTCCCTTATTCCTCACTTTGAAATTCTGAATGAATGAGCAGGGGGATTTGGAGTGTATTTAGAAAGCAAGCAAGCTACCACTTGCATGCGCTTGTCCTCGGTAAGGTTGGGCAAAAGTGTTGAAAAATGGTCTATCTCTTCTCTTAATATGTGTCATCCATTAGATCGGTTGAAAAGCAAGACCAGTCTTTAGGTAGGCTTTTGAAATTCAGAAATGGAAGAAATTGCTTTAGCTACAAAATACAGTATAAAAGTTTGATTAGTCTTTCTGCAGATGAAGGGAAATCCATTTCATAAGTGTTTATTTTCTTGAAGTTTTTTCTGATTTTTAATCACATGGCTACACTTTGAAATGGCTCATGAATAAGTTAAAAAAGTAAACTGATAAAAATACCAGAAAGATAGGAATAAGGTGTTTCAGTTTTGACTGTCTTTACAGTGCGGTACCAGATAAAAGGATGAAAATGAGAAACACTTTCAAACTGGAAGTCCCAAGGGGCTCTGGTTTTATGCAATGTCTCTTTCCAACATTATCAGACTTTTCTGTTACTTTTATCGCCTTCAAAATATGCTCAAAACTGACAGTTTCTTGCGATATTTGGATTTTAGTGGAATTGTAGACTCTAGTGAACAACGCCATTGATAATTATTTTCTGACCACTCTCTTTGGTTCAAAAATGTAGATTCTGACCACCCCTTTCTCCTATCAAATAAGCTTCAACCCTTCAGAAGCTCTTTGGACTGACACCTATTTCAGTTGAGCTTAACTATCTGTGTTCTGCTATTTTAAACAGAAAAGCACGTATTGGTAAATCCTCATAGCTTCCTGCTCAGATTACATTTATGTACTTGCAATGGTTTTATTCTCTGATTTTATTTTAGTTTTTAAACTATTTTTCATTTTTGGTTCAGTTTGGTAACTATAGCTCCATTTTGGTAGAAAAATGAAGGGAATAGTTTTTGTGCATTTCTGTTTACTGTTTTCTTTTTCTTGTTAGTTGTCCCTATCAGTTATTTTCAATATCAGTTTTAGCAAAATGCTGAAAATACATGCATGCAATTCACTTTATGTATTCTGTTTTTCGTATCTCCTCTGCCTTTTGCTTAGCTGGGATTTTGTGTTATGAAGCACTGTGTGGAAGGAAATAGCTTATCTGTGAACATAGACAGACTGTTGGGACCTAAACCAGGAAAGGAACCAAAAGCTATTTATGAAAACAGTAATACAGCAGCATTAATATTTTGAAACTATAATGAAAAATGCAGAATGCAGGACAATCTCGTTCAGTGTAATTGTCTCTACGTATTGTTTCCTTATGTTGGCAATTTCCTCGTTAACGTTCCAGACTGCACGAGTCAACCCAGAAGGGACTCACAGAGCTTTAGAAACCTGTAGTCGGTGAAAAATAGGAGAACAATATTGGAAAACACTGCTATTTGTTGATTGTGAAATCCCTGCTTTCTAACTAGCCTGCTCGGTGTTTGTTCAAATTCTACAGGTGCAAGTATTTTACAGTTGCAGGTAAGGTAACTGGTTACAAAAACAAACGTCTGTATGTCCAGCTAACTAATTTGCATGTGCAGATTTGGAGAACATAAACAGCTTCATGCTCACTTAGGTGCCTATGGAAACATAGTTCTTTAGGGGTGTTTTGTGTACTACATCTGCACTGAATTTATTTCTACCACAGTTGCTTATGAGAATAGCAGCTGTTATACTGCATGACTTTATTTAACCCACTAGCACACCTACTTAAAAATTGACGTAGCAAAAAGTTGTTTGCATAGTATTTTAAGACACAAGTAGTTACAACAATTTCGATTTTCTGGTAACGTATACCAAGTAATAGATACTTTCGCATTTTTACTAAAAATCAGAGAGTATTTGTATTGCATTCCTTGAAAATGGAGGAGAAGTCAAAAAGAGCTATTTACTCATCTATGGTAGAATTTTTGTTTGCAACTCTGGAATAAATGTAATACTATGTAGCTACTACTAGTAATTTTAACTATAACTTACTTGTTATTAGCATGCAGCCAGTGCTGGATGAAGGATGAAAATATTTCCAGTATTCACATGTGGCTTTGCAACAACTTACTGTAAAATTTTAGTACTCCCAGTTAGCTCCTGGTTCAGAGGACTGGCAGGGCAGGCGGCATCACTGCTGTTATGGTGTCTGAGGGGTAGATCGGTCTCTGCTGACCTGTGAGCCAGCTGTGTACCCAGCATCAATTGTCCCTTCACGCCAACTCAGAGACCGAGATTGAAGTCTTTCTCTGGCCCTGCCTGCCCATTTATGTTGGAGATAGGAGTACCAATCCTGGGGTGTCAGCTGCTCACACCATTGATGTGAGTAACCAGTACAAATGTGAGCAGTCGCTTTGATACTCTGTAGCATTTCTCTCTGTAGCTTTCCAAATCCAGAGTAAGTGGTTTATAGTAACTATGCACTCGGGGAAGGAAGAAGAGGTGAACCACATGAGTCAGATAGCTCTGAGTGCAGGAGGTTCCCTTTCCTCTGGGTCCTTGCTCATTAACTGCAATGTGCAGTACTGTGGAAGCAAGCTGAAGAGATCTGTAATAACCAATATCCTTTTTTCCCCCCTGTAGAAGAGGATAGAGGATATTTCCAGATTGATGCTGTCAGTGGGGAGTTAAGAACAACCCGGTCTCTGTCACACGCTGAGAGATCGGACTACAGAATAAGGGTCACAGCCAGGGATCAGGGGATGCCTTCACTTCAAGGACATGCTGTGATTTACATCCAGGTACTTGTTTGTGTTGTACGGATAGGAAGGCTACATACTTAGTTTTTTTGGAGAAAAAAAAAAGCTTGGGAAATAAACTGAAGACACGAAGAAGTTCAAAATTATAAGCATCTTGTCTCATAATTTTCTTAAGCTATTTTTCTGATTAGGGAGAAAATGAGAGGGCAGACTTATTTTGATTTGTTATGAACGCACCAACAAGATTCTGGGTTGTCTTGCAAACAGATGATATTTGTGCTGTAGTAGGAGGTTCATTGTGAACACTGGAAAAGAGAAGGAAAATATCCACGTAGGCGGAATTAAAAGCAAATATCAGGATGGAGTGAAAGTGGGAGAGAAATAAACTAAAATATCTCTTAGAGTAGATATTTGTTTTTCTCCACTGTTACTCTCTCTTCTGAAATCTGTCTCTGTAACCCAGTGTAAGGATAGCTCATTCCTTTGTGCTGGGTTATACAGGGCTACTCTGCATGGCAGTGTGAAATCCAGCGTGTGCTATTTCCGCAGCCAGCTACCTGCTGTTCATCGAACTGCACTGGGGCTGCCTTGTCCAGGCCACCTATGTGCTCCTGTATCACAGGTTGAATGTCACCAAGGCTGCTGTTGTGACATCACCCAAAAGATGATTAATTTTGGATAACTTGGAAAAAATGCTGCAGTCAAGACAAGGCAAATGCAGTTCCCACAGTTAAAGAGATTATTTCATTTTAAAACATTAACTTGAAACGCTGCAGCAATCCATAATGAATGAAACCCTGTTATGACATAAACCTCAGAAAATGTCAGCTGTTTGTTTTTGACAAGCTGCATAATGTACCGTGCTTTCTTTGTCACATCTGTTCCTGTGATGCTGTCTCTATGCAGAAAGTCAGTTGAAGTGCTTCGGAGTAGGGACAGAGGTAGCAGTATTCAAGTCGTATGTGTTTGGATGCCTGTGATTCAGAGGGTGAAAGACAATTTTGTCCCTTTTTTTAACGTGGAAATGAAAGATACAGTTATGGAATGACTGGCCAAGGACTATTTGAACTCTTATGGAGCATGTGGAGTTTGTTGTCTGGCTTTGAGGTATACATAGGGTAAATATAGTTGCAAATAATAAATGATTAAAGTCTCAAATAAGGAAAACAATTTTCAGTACACTGGTCATAATAACAACGGGAAAATATTGCAGTCTTTGTGGTTTTGTTGCAGGTAATCCCACATCCCAATGGGAAATCTGTGTTCTCTCAAGATTTCAAGCATTTTGTCGTACCTGAAAATTTTAAACCGGCACAAGTGTTGAATTCTCTGAAGTGGCTTGATAATCATCTAACAACTAACGGGAAACTGCATTTCAGTATCGTGAAAGATGATGATGATGTTCATTTTGAGATAAATAGCTTGACAGGAGACCTTTTTCTTTCCAAGGAACTTGACTATGAAACAGCTTCGCACTTCCTTTTGCAAGTTATTATAAAGGATTATAATAATAATCCTCCACAGAATAACACTGTCTTCCTAAGTATCGACGTAGAAGATCAGAATGATCATTCTCCGTATTTTCAAGATGACTTTGTAGTGATTGGCATAGAGGAAAATGTACCTGTTGGCACTCTGGTTTACACATTCAATGCAAAAGATGGAGATGGCAGTTTTCTGAACAGCAAAATACAGTATTCCCTGGAAATGAGTAACATGGGTGAAAATCCATTTATTATTCACCCTTCATATGGCACCTTGACCACAGCTTTTCCACTAGACAGGGAGGTTACTCGCTCTGTGATCCTTACAGTATCTGCAGCAGACCAGCCAATAAATCTGACAGATCGTAGGCTTGGTTCACTGGCTGTGAAAATTGTTATTTTGGATATCAATGACAACAATCCCAGTTTTACATCTTCATCTCTTTCCTATGTCATGGAGGATGTGGAGGTGGGCTTCCTTGTGCACCGCATAATTGCTAAGGATCCTGATGAGGGAAGAAATGGACAAGTTACATATCACATTCTTTCAGGCAATGAAAACCAAACATTTGTATTGGATAAAATCACAGGTACTGTAACTTCTGTTCTCTGGAGTTTCTTGTACTGTGCTTCTCACGGTAATATTTGGGAGCACGTGCAATGCAATACTGAAGTACCACGTTACCCATGGTATTCTACCCAGGTGACTTATCGTCCTCAGGGGTGATTACCTCAGGCAGAGCACCACATGGGCAGTACCATGTGCAGTAGGCAAGCTCAAAGTACCACATTACCCATGGTATTCTACCCAGGTGACTTATCGTTCGCGGGGGTGATTACCTCAGGCAGAGCACCACACGACCACAGCAGTACTATGTGCAGTAGGCAAGCCCAGTGAGACTCAGCTCAAAAATTTCTGCATGACTCTCTTACTGCATTGTGTAGATGTACTAACGGGCCTTCCAATAGCACATTAAGGAATGTGGGAAGAAAATGTGTGCAGTGAAATATTTCATTCTGATTTTTGCATGGTGCATGCTTAAGGCATGTGCACACACATATGTTGCCATATGTACACATGAGGAAAGGCAAAGTCAAGATCAAGGAATGTGCATTACACTGTGGGTGGAACCTGTTCAGTGGAGGCTCACAGTGCTGATGAATTTCATTCTTCAGCCCTCTGAAAATTCTCTGGTTCCTGAATGAGTTCTGTAACTATTATACCATCTGCCCACAAGCACAAATCTCACCCTAACAGTTGCAGTATTTTCTGGTTCTTACTCTGATTTTGAATCCACCATGTGATACAGCTGACACTGATTTGCAGAGCTCCGAATCGCCTAACTTACGTGCAAAAGAAGACAAATATTTAAGTTAGAAGGTTAAACCCAAAGTTAAATAAAAAGGAATCTCAGAACTTCACTTGAGTATTCCATGAATCTGTGTCCCTTGATGTCAGAACGAGTATTTCTGGGCCAATTAGCAATCTGAAGGGAATCACAGATAATGATTGACTGTGAAGTCTGGTAGCCTTGCAGCAGTGGCACAGCATGCATGGTGGTGCTACATTGAAGCTGTGAATGCTGGAGCAACTGGGATCCTACCGTAACCTGGACCAGAATACTTTTTTCATACCTTCTTTCTTGATAATAGGACTCCTAAGTACAGCCCAGCTTCTGGACCGTGAGATTCAGGAGTGCTACAGTTTGACAGTCATGGCTCTTGATGATGGCAGCCCAGCGCTCTCTGCCACTCAGGTTCTAACCATCATTGTTCTTGATGTGAATGATGAGACCCCGATATTTTCAAAGCAACTTTACGAGACCGCAGTTCGTGAAAACCAAGACCCAGGGGAGTTTGTCATAAAGGTGGAAGCTGTGGACAGAGATACAGGTAATTTCTATCCTTTTGCTATTAATTTCCTTGTGGACCATAATAGACCAGTCACATCTTGCTGCCTGCCGTGCTTGCATGTACAGTCGTTGTGCTTTTGCTGTGGTAATGTATGAGTTTTGAGTTTCAAAATATGGCTGTCGGTTCAGACCTTCAACCTTTATTCAGGGCTTGGAGGTCTTCTGACTTGCTGGCCTAGTTGCAGCTCTGACTAGTATATTAAATGCAAAATGTGCCCTTGGATGATGCAGAGTAGCTCAGTGTACTGTTGCTTTCACATGAAGATAGCCAATGTGCTCTGGTTATAAATCAGCAAACAATGTTCAACTCAGTTAAAGTTAATATTTGAACATTTTCATGCTCTCACTTGGAGCGTTTTGAATAGTTTTTAAATAGTTTACTAGGTAAGGTCCTGGGTTTGTAACATAACCGGCAAATATGCACTAATCTCTTCTGGCCAGGGAGGGGCACTGTCATCCAAGATTTTCCAGCTAGTTGAGCTGCAAAGGGGCCGTGGAAGCCGCTCTGGATTTCAAATATGATTTCACATACATAAAAATGTTAAAGCATTGAGGTTGTGCTATCCGAAAAATAGATCGAACAATAGATCTTGTTAGCAAAATAATTTTCAGTTTTAAGTAAGATTTGTCATTTTAATGGAGAGCTCGTGAGGCGGATGTGAGCTCGGTAGAGGTGCTATATAGAAAAGAGAGTTCCCCAAATGCATGTAAAGTATTTAGAAGTTAGGAATGGGTGGTTAGCCCTGTCTGTGAAAATCTTCCTGACAGCTGAGCAGTGTTACAGTCTGCCTCTTACCTTGCTCTTCCAAATACTTTCTTTCTTTTGTGGATCACACTATTAACAAAAAGGCAGTATGTGAAGTAAAAATTTGTAAGATAATAGCGAAAATAACTGGGAATTTGCATTAATTCCTCTCCCTCCTTTCTCCATCCCTTATATTTATTTATTGCACATCTTGTTGGAAATACAGCAGAAGGGACATTTTGGGAAGCATAAGGAGGAGGGAGTGGGGGTGGCTTGCCAGGGCGGCGAGGAAGGGAATTCCAAGTGCATGGGGTGGCACAGTGTGCGTCTGCCTGTGCAGACGCTTTGGGCGGGAGCAGTGTTGTGGCTGACGGTTCCTTCCTGCTTTTTTTTGGCTCTATGTCATGTGCATGTAACAATATTGGTCCAAACAAATACTAAAGCCATGCTCATAATGTAAGAGGAGTCATAAATACAATGCTACTCACTTTTCCTACATTTTTAGAACAGAATTTTTGAAGAAGATGCCTCCGCTCATGGTGTTCTTTATTTTTGCATCACATTTTTTAGATTATTTTAATTCATTCTTTAAATAGCTGTTCATATCCCTGTAATATTTGCATAGCCTCAGTGGAGGATTTTCCTCCCATCACAGATTTCCTGCTCCTCCCTCCCCCCCCTTCATATGTTCCCTGACTGACCACAGGGAGGAATCATTTTTACTGACAATTGCAGCCATCATCAACTTTTTGTTTTATTTGCTTTCTACTTCATTCCCTGCAAAGGGAAGAGGGAAAGCAAGCGGCTGTCACCTTCTTTCTGTTTGACCCAAGCTTTAAGCTTGCTTCCAGTTTAAAAGATCTTTTTTTGCAAATTACTACTAAGATATTTTCTTGTAGTGATTTTCTTTCATGCAGATATCGTGAAACATATTGTTTGGCCGACTCCCTCCTGCACATTACAAAAGCTGCACTTACTGCAACTCTATGTTGCCTGGTTTTCTTGAAGTCCTCTTACACTGTGGGAGCTCTCCACCTGCCGCAAGGCTGAGATCTAACAGTGCAATGCAAGTAAAGACAAGAGTAAAGACACAGGTAATACAAGTAAATGCTGGAAACGAATGGGAAAGCCGAGATACCCGCAGCATATTTAAGATGGGTCAGGGGTTTGCCTTGAGATATATCTTTGCAGAAGCTCTGAATGAACTGAACTAGCATTTGTCAAGGTCTGCTTTTAAGCTCATGTGCACCTGTGTGGTTTGGTAGTTATGTCTGGAGCCTTAGGAGAAAAATCTCAGAACGTCAATAGGGACCACTGACTTAGTTATGAGATAGGGCTTAAGGCTGTTCACTAGGCGTTTTGTCTTGCTCCTGTTCATGGGTTATCATGGTCTTAACAACACTAGTATTATGAAGGTGAGACTGGAGCCTAGATTTGGGGCAGGTGGAACATTTGTTCCCATTGTTTCTTCACCTGTGTTGGCAGTGGACATATCTGAAGAGTAATGCCACGGCTGCTGCTCCAGAAAAGCCGTGGTAGCACCGTGGGAGACCAGGGGCTGCCCGTGCTGGTGGGGGGGGAATGGGAAAGGGGCTGAAGCTTTACCCTGGCTGCAGTTCAGGCACTGTGCATCCACCCTTGCCGTTTGGCCTGCAGGGGAAGGGGTCCCTGCTATCGGCTGGTACCAAGGAAGAGGCTCAGCTCCTCTTCCAGTTTTAATGTGCAGGAGGAGTAGGGATTTTTCTCATCTCAGTTTGTAATTTCAGCCCCCAAAATGTGACTGGCACTTGTGAATAATTAACCAACAGGTTGGATCAAGTGCAGATGTGTCAGTTGCTCTGCCGTGGTACGTGAATGTGTGGAGTCATCATGCTCCTTTCTTCGGCAGGGTGTGCGTGCGGCTTTCTCTTACTGCTAGGTGTACGCTCCTAGCAGCTGGATACGAAAAAGGAAGCAGCGAGTGTTTGGGAAATAAATGTGATTAAGGTGTCATGTATCTGTGTGCTTTTAGGGTTATAAGTTTTAACTTTCAATAGTGTGTGAATAGTCAACTTGAATGACACCTGTATGGGTTTTTTTGGCACTGTCTGTGAATAATGTCCATTGTGAAATCTGTGAATGCACTGGGTTGAAGCAGTTCAGTTGCAGGAGATCTAAGTCTAGTAGTTAATATCAGCTATGCAGTGTCACATGTCTTTTTTCTGTCTGTAGCATACTGGTGATTAAGGATAGATACACGCCGACAGAGCTGCAAATATCTTTTTAAATATAGTTAAATGGTATCTAATATGGACAGATCAGATAGTGTATTGGTAACCTTTAAACTTTGAAGACAGTCTTCTTGAATGTCCTTGCTGCTGTGATTTTTCTCTTTTGTTTTGGAAGGCTGGAAGGATTTCTGTAATGAATTTTTCCTTCTGCTGCCAGTTGTGTGAATATGTCCCTCCCTTGACTTAGTTCAGGTGCAAATGCATTTACAGTAATAATTCTTTGAATAAAATTTCAGTAGAATTGTGAACTATTTAGTAAAGCTATTCAGTGGCAGACAAAGGAAGTCATGGATGTTAAAAAACGTAGACTCTGTTTTTTCACTCACACTGGTGTTTCTCCATCAATTCCGATGCAGATTGTCCTGTTTGTTGCTGCAGCAGATGAGAACAGGCAGGCAGTGTTTAACTCTGAATAGCAGTTTTAGTATGACGAGGAGTCCTGTAGCTTTCCAGGTGTGCTAACTGTCCTTACCATACTAAAAGGCTGATTGTTGGTTGGAAAAACACAGAATTACTGAATGAAAAATGCAACTTGAAGTATAATGTAGGATTAAATTCATTAAATTTGATAATATGGGTGTGATGAAGAGGACATTATACTTCCCTCAGGAGAGTGTTGAAACTGGAAGAAGTAGGAAATAAATTATTTTATAACCATAACAGGTAAGAATGTGGAGTCACATTTCCTGCTCAACTCAGACGGGCAACTTTGAAAGAAAGGTTTTTTAAAGCCTGTACACTTTTAAGTCTACTATTTCCTAGAGAAAGACAGGAAAGCTAATATGCCTGTACTATATACAAATGGTGGGTCTACTTAGGAGCTGAATGGAACTAGCATTCAGAAAAACTCCGAGGGAGGGAAAGTCTTTAACCTTCCCTTCTGGAAATGTTGCGTGACTTTATGAAATGAAGCAATATCATTTCAGAGACTGGCTACAAGTGGGAGCAGTCTAAAAGGCCTGAGATGTGCTGTGGGAATGGCCACTAAATTGGCTTTTATGCTGCAGACAACTAGGAGATGCCTACCCTGTGAGGCCTGACGGGACTTAGGCACCTGCCTGCTCAGCATTACAAATATTTAAAACTGATGGGCAGGCCAAGATGCAAATGTTTTCTCTGAATGCTTATACTAGTCAGTGTTGTACTGTACAGAGATGGTTGCACTGGCTCCAAGTGAAGTTAAGTGGAGAACCAGAGCTGCCGGAGCAGCCTGATACTCTGCCCGACACCGGGTTGAGAAATAAATTAACTACCTTGGGGAGAGCAGAAGACAAATGCAGGGATTCCACAGTATAAGTTAATGCTCTCTTGCACCATGTTAATATATCAGCTTGTCTGGAGACGTATCCTGGGTACCTGGAAATGTTGCTGGTGTCACTTTGAGTGGCGGGAAAACTTAGCACAAAGCAGCATCTCGACAAGGATTTTGAAGGATTTTGAATTTAAAATTTGGATATTTTTTGCTAATGAAGAAGCAGTTACTGCATTAAAAATAGTTATTTCATCCATAACCCATTTCCCGTGGAGGATGAGAAGAGACAAATCTGTAGACCTGAACATGAGAAGAGTGACTGCATTTTATTAAGACTTCCATTCTGCTTTTCAGGACTGAATTCCTTGCTGCGGTATGAAATCTTACCAGGAATGGGTTATGAGAAATTCAAGATGAACTCGGGCAGTGGAGAACTCGTAACAACTGCATCACTGGACAGGGAAACCCACGAGGTTTTCAGTATTAAAGGTAACAGTGGGAAATAGCTATGAGTGCCTGTAAAATGGGAAGTGAGAATGGGTGTGGTGTTACTGTCAACATTACCTTTTTTCATGCCATCTGAATTAGATGGAAGTGGTAAAATTTTCAAGTACAGAAGAGCATGTGCTTTTTGCATAGCACAAATAACTCTGCTATTTTGCTATTATTAAGGAACATCTATTACTGCACCCACAGCCACTGTATAAAATTTGTTCTCTTTTTATTAATCTTAGTTTTGGTTCAAGATGGTGGAACCCCACCACTGTCGAGCACGGTGATAGTTATCTGCAAAGTGCTGGATGAGAATGATCACTCTCCCATGTTTCTTCTTCCTGCCCCTGAGATCCATATTCCAGAGAACCAACAGCCTTCTGTCATTTACATTACCCGGGCTGTAGATGTGGACGCTGGCAATAACGGAGCTCTAAGATACAAAATAATTGGTAAGTTACACTCCATCATTTTTGTTAGTGTAAATCAGGAAGTATATAAACAGCAGTATCCAAGTTTTAGATTAGTCTTGATTTTACCAGGCCTCCCTATGTTTCTTTCATGTGGGAAGAAAAAAAAACAACACACCTTTCACCCCTTTGTCAGCATTAATAAGCACTTTCCAGGCATGCTTTGCCTGCTTTCTGGATTTGAAATAGTACAGAAAAGAAAAACAGAAAACTACCAAATGCTGGAAGAAAGCATTTATCACAAAGGCATAATTTTGTCCATTTTCGTTATAGTTGCAGAGGTTCTGAATGTAAATATACCCTTGCAAATAAGTACAAGAATTAATCTAATGTTATTTATTTTATTGTATTAATTTAGTTTTATTTCATGAGAGCTTCTTTCACCCAGCAATTAGTAATGTAATACTTGGTTTTCATATTGCAAAACTCTGCCTGTGTCCATGATGCCAATGTAAGCTCCATGGTTGTTCAAAGCCTCCTGTAATATCTTTGCACAAATACAAGTTTGCTGTGCTTACTTTGGTTTGTGGCTCTCAGTAATAGCTCAAATGCAGGCAGGTACCTACTGTGGTAACAGCCAACACATTTTTCTTTGAAGAAACAGTTATAAATTCCGGTATGTTTTCTTGGTTTTAATTTCACAATCTATTATGATCTTTGATTAAATAATCTTTGGTCTTTCTACATGTTATCAAGTATGTATGCCATTCACTGTTACTAAAAAAGGTGACATTTCTGTCGACTGCTTCATATTTACCTCCCCCTCCCACACCCCCCAAATAAAGACTTTGCACAACTATTCATTTCCAAGAGGCAGGTTTGTAGAAGAGAACAAGGAGCAAGTAATTACAATTGTCAGCAATGCTTTATAGTTTTCTGACATTTGTAACTAAGGTTGGGAAGAGGTCACTTTATGCAGCAGCATAGTTGCAGGAGATTTTATAAGGTGTGCTGCTTTAGAAAAAAAGACATGCATCTGGCAAAATAGCCACTCTGTAAATTGATATGACGTTCTGTATTTACTGTCATTGCCACCCACTGATTTAAATCAAATGCAGGTTTTAATTCATGTAAGATGAATAAATTATGTGACAGGCACATGAGTGCACCAGCTTTACGAGCAATTGGATCATGTTCTTGCAATTAACATGGTGATATTCACAAAAGATTCTTTTTTCAAAAGCACTTGTTTGTGATTATTTTATTTTTTATGTGTTTGAAAGGTGGAAATGTTGGAGAATACTTCACGCTAAATAACACCTCAGGAAAACTGCTGCTCACTCGTAGCTTAGACAGAGAAGACATCAGCAATTTCAGTCTTGTAATTGAGTGCCATGACCTTGGCAGCCCCTCAAGAAGCTCTACCATGCAGCTCTATCTGACGGTCTTGGATGAAAATGACCACAACCCATTGTTTGCAAAGACCCAATATCAAATCACTGTGAGAGAAGACCTAGAGGAAGGCTCAGTCATCCTGGACCTCTTTGCTTCTGATGAAGATGATGGCCTGAATGGCAGAATTACGTACTCCCTCATTGACGACACCTTCGGAGCATTTGCTATTGACAGTGTAACTGGGTCTATAGTTACTACAAAGGCACTGGACCGGGAGACCAAACCCCAGTATACGTTTAGGGCTGTGGCAAGTGACTGTAGCACGCATGTGCCAAGAAGCACCACTGTCAGGGTTGTGGTGCACGTTGATGATGTCAATGACAATGATCCTGTTTTTTTGCAGAATCCTATCAGGGCCTTTGTGCCTGCTGAAACTGCTGTGAATGAGACAGTAGCCGCTGTGAGAGCAGAGGATGCGGATCTGGGGCCAAATGGAGCTGTTCTTTTTAGTTTGATGCTAGCAGAAGCTGTATTTCAGATCGACACGAAGACAGGTGACATCATTCTTCAGGAGCCCTTGACTTCCAAGGACTTCAGTACCCAGCTGCTAGTGATGGCTTCAGATCAAGGTACCTCACCTCGAACAGCCACAGCTGTGGTCATTATCTTCACAGAGGAACAAGAGGAGGAGATTTTGTTCAGCCATAGCCTGTATGAAGCAAGCGTGCCTGAGAACAGTGCAGCAGGTGGGCATCAAATCCTAATTTGTGTCTGTGTGGTTGCCAATCTCCCCTCCTTTAGGAAAGGTAATGAATAGTATAGGGAAACCTTTTTCCTGTGCAGCAGCAGAGAATAGTTGATTGGGATGAAGCAAATATCCATCTGCCCTTTTCCGGCATGCCAGAGCGAAAAAAGAAGCATGCTTTGTTAGTTGGAGGCATTGTATGGCTCTGGAGTTTGCTGCCCGTGTACAGCAGTGTTGCTCACCTTAAACAGAAAGCCCCTGTGTCAGAGATGGTGTGTTTCCATCCCCTAGCCTGGGAATCAGTGGGTTCACTCTTTTAAAAGCAAAATGATTTTAATGGTGGGGGAACAGTATTTACCCATCGTTTCATTTGTCAGCACACACAAGCTCAGACGAGATGAGCGGTGTGTACCAGTTGCAACATGACACTTCTTGATTTTGCAAAAGCCTTCATGAACTGTGATAGCTTTCAGAGATACTCAGAAACCTCATTGAGGTTTTGGACTTTCCAGAAGAAGGAGAATGGGAGGTAGGGAGGGATGAAGGGGTGAGACGTTCGGCGGCTGTGGTACTTTGTCACTCAGACAGGCTTCTAGAGTGCATCTCTAGGCAGAGCCTGTGCTATTGAATGCTACCTATAGACAAACAGCTCAAATCATACAGTGCTTACAAATTTATGTATTTTTGTTTAGTATAATGATAAGTACTGCTCTACTTTTTATCATTCAGAGAACATTTATAGTTATGCCTCCTGCCAATTAGATATGGTAAGTACCTTTTCCTGCTTCAGGGGATGGGTTTGTCCTGCTGAGGGGCAGAAAGGAGTGCCTTTCACGTTTTTCTGCCCACAAATCCTGCTGTACAATTGACCAGACGTATTTAGAGATCTGACTTGCACTGTGTTCTTGATCCAAACACTGCCTCATGAGGTTCACCTTGAACAAGTCATTTATCCTCTTTATAGTTCAAGTTTCCCTCAGTAAAATGAAAGCAATATTCCTTTGTATCCTAAGGGTATCATGAGACTAGTCAATTCTTAGATCTCAAGTAACAGCCTATATATTTGATTAGGAATCAGTAAAAAAGAAATGTGTTAATCATTTTGGAAAACAAATCAATATTCTTGTATAATTACAAACAGAATAGAGAACTAAGGGTGAAGATGACTGTTGCAGTAATTACTGCTGTGATTGCTCACCCGTTCCTTCCCCTGTGCCTGTTTGGAACTGCAAGACAAATTTTCAGCAGTCTATTTTAAAACAAAGATAATGCTGCAGTTATTACTGATGTTTCTGTTAATAAACTGAAAATAGGCAATAAGGTGAAAATTTTTTTGTAAATTGAATATTTTTTTTTATTTTTTTTTTTTAAACCATGGATGAACTACCTTGGTTTCAGGCTACTTTTAAAGAGTTGTGATGAGTGATCAAACCACCAAGCTAGAGCATCTCACTGTCTGTTAAAAAAGATGTGGGATTTTGGAAAAAGTGGAAGGCTTCCAACAGGAAAAAGTGGAGCGTGCAGTAGCATGGTGGTTAAAACACTCTCATGAAATATGAATGGTGTAGATTCAGGTCTCCTCAGGCAGAGCAGAATTTCCCTTTCACTCCATACTGAGCACTATGAGTACAGAACCTATAGGATAAGAAGTTCTTTAAAGTTCTTTAATTTTTTTTAAAACAGTACTTCATTTATTGCTTCTATTACAAATTCAACAAAAAAAAATCCTTAAACACACTTGTCCTGACATCTAAAAATGCTTTTTATTCCATGAATTTGACCAGGATTTACAAGTAGTTTTAGACAGCCTAAAATTGAATCTTTCTGTGAATGTGAGTCACAGATATCCCAAGGCCTCCAAATCCTGTTTTACTAGCGTCAGCACTGTACAGTAATTAATTGTGTGTCACTTTGCGCAGGAGAGTCAGCCCTGGGGGCATTGCTGCTTCCAGAAGAATCAGTTTGGATGTCACAGCAATGTGTGTTAATCTCTCATTTTTTGTCTTTTCATTGATATACATGTTGAGGGTCACTTGTGGTGATGTACATGTGTCCCGAACACGGAGAGACCAGGGTGTTTAGAGGCGAGCCATGGGTTCTCAGTTTTCTCTCCCTTGCTGCAGCAGGCTTGTGTTTTCAGAAAGTGTCGTGAGAACCTCTTTATCAGGCCTCCTGTGGGAGTAATGTCGAGGCCCTGGGGTTTCAGTCTTCTCGGGAGAGATGGGCTTAACCTGCATTAGTGCTGCATTAATATTTCTTTCTAGTTACGAAAAAATAAAAAGAGGGAAGATTAGGTTTTGTTAGGGAACAAGTATCCATTTAACGAAAGAAAATAAAATTCGGAGCCTTGTAGCAATAGGTAAGCTAATCTGATCCTAAGTTTTCTGAAGTGTTGATACATTCATGGATCAGGCTAGACGATCCAGTCTGAAATTATGGAAATGCCCTAAGGAAGTTGTTCTCCCATTCAGTCTATAGAAAATAGAAATAAGATTAAATTTCAGTTGTTTTCATTAAAGGAAATATAGCAAAGCTTCAGGGTAAGCAGGAGGGTTTAATTTCAAAATTTTAGTCTGTATATTTAATAGAAGTCTATTTGCTAAGAAGATCAGGTTCTTGTAAGAGTATGACAGATTTTACCAAATACTAATAGTGTTTTAGCTCTGTTTGTACCATTTTCTTATTTATGTAAGCATAAGTAAATATCAAATATTTTTTATTTCAGTGGAAAAAAAGCAGGGTTGTAATCAAAACTCTCACAGACGTTAGTTTACAAGGATATATGTGATCCTGGGACCCCTACAAGTATGAATGGTACCAGTGTATTCAGTCTAGAGGAGATTTACGTTACATGTTGATTATTTGTAAAACTGGTATTAATAAATGTGGCTTTTCCTCCTAGTTTTATTTCTACCTTAACTAATAGAGTGGGAAAACTGGAAGTTTATTTTTAAAAGAATCAAAAAATCTGAATAGTATAAACGATGAAAGCCGAAGCCAAGGGTCCTTAGTTTAGACTAAATTAAAACTCGTCAGTTGGGTGAGTGCCTCAGGATTTGGTCCTTGTGGTCAGATTTTCTTTAAGAGTTTGACCTCTATGTTTAATGACCTTCAGAAAACCCCATTCTTCTCCTTTTTATTTAATATGAAGTATTTAATGTCTTTAGATATTATAAACTGCATTACAACAGGCACTTACAAGCCAGTCGACAACTAAGTCACTGCTGTCTCCAGAGGGTAAGAAACCTGTATTATTCACCAAGCTTTCGCTTGAATGGTTGTTTGCGTGGCACTTCCATGAAGACAGATTCACCAGTAAAACTTGTTGACTCGTGTATTTTTTTTTCTAATAGATTTAAAATATGTAGCCTCTTACTCTTTCTGCTCAGTTAGCGTTTTCTTTCATGAGCATTTAAGACGTCTCGGGAAATAATGGCAAGGATGAACCAGGGTTAGATGACAAAGGAGGGGAACTACTATAATGACTGGAGAGAGAAGAAAAACAGTAATATTGTGGTACAGTAGCTCAGTTCTGGTGTATGTGTTACATCCTAACACAGAGTACGGTGAATGTTTTTGAGCCTGTTTGGCCAGCAAATACTGTCCATGCTGCCATGCTTCAATTTCAAGTGAGCAGGCATAATGTGAAGGTTGGTGTGTAGAATATTTAAAGCAGTTTGAGGTACTTTCAAATACAATCAGGTTGTCTGCAACTGAACCGAAAAAACCTAAATACAACCATTTTAAATCAGTCTTCACTTCCTTTAATATTCTTAACTAATTCAGAAGTCGATTGCATAGCATTTCAAGTCAGTCTGACTGCTTTCTGCTATGATCCTGATCTCCCTTCTTCCTTGCACTAGCTTCAGTGCTGATCTCATCCTCATTGTGCCATTTCAGTGTGCTTTGCAGCCAGAAAGTTGCCTTTCTCTCAGTTTTCTCCAGGTTAAATGTTACATGTTGTGACCTCTGCTTGAAGCAGTATTTGAATTACGGATACTTGAAACTGTGAGCTCCAGTGGATGGGTACTATCTTTTGATGTTTACCTTTATAGGGCCCGTTTGTGTCACAACAGACCTGAGAGTTTGGTCATATTTTTTTGACTATGTACTGTAAAGATTCATTGTTTGAAGGTGTAATTTTCTGTGAAAGGTATCAGAAACAGAAGAAATTTGTTCTGTGCCTAAAATGTTGTAAACGATTTTAACTACATTAAAAATATGAAACTTAAAGGATTAGGATTTGAGGACCCAGAGCAACAATTTATAAACCTAACCTCTGAAAAATGAATTCAAGTAGAAATGCTGCTGCTTCCTTCATTTCTGGTAGTTTTTCTCCTTAAACAGGCAAGCAAGCGAATAAAAAGACTGCTGACAACTTTAAGATAAATAGCGACATTTTCAGACCTTGAATTTTTTTCTTGTCTTTAACTCTGCTCTCAGGATGCTATGAAAGATTGCCCTTGCAGGCTTTTGTAGTAAATCGAAGTTGCTCCACAAGGAAAACTCAACCTACAACCCCCTATTTTAGTTCCTTAAAAAAACAGTGCAGTGTTCCTATCAGTCTTTACCTTATGGATAGTTGGATCTTACTTCCAGAACTCTTGTAGTCAATATCTTATAAATATATTGACTAGTACAGAAAATTACATCTGTCAAAAATCGGCATAATTTGTTTTTGACAGTCAGATTTCAGGAGCAAATGACAAACCACTTTTAAAACAAAATTTCCTGTTTTTAAAAATTAGGAAGTTACAACACTAAAGTAAAAAAGGTAGCAGACAGTTGTAAGAGCAATGTTTCCTCTCATTTTTACATTAAATATAAAATCCTTTGCTCCAACATCCAGGACACCACATGTGAACAGCATGCCCTTTGTAGTGTAATTAAATAGCTAGTTGTCTGTAATGCTGTTTGGAAGAGTTCAGGTTGCACAGTAACCTCACTCTGTCACAGCAGAATGGAATCAATTACAATTAAATAATTAAAACTCATTAAAATCAATTACCATATGTGCTAAACAATTTCATAACTCACTTGAAAAGAATGATTATTTGGCAATCTTGATAATGCTTTTTAAAATTGATACATTTTTGTTGAATGTGATGATTCAGAGCAGGATAATGTATTCAGTTCCACATTTTTCCTCTAATGCTATTTCAGACAGGATCTTTATTTGATGTTTCTTATATTCTATATTAAATTATTGTTCTTTTAATGAAATTTGTATTCTGTGTGAATTGACACATAGCTATGCATGTAGTTTCATCTTTTCTCTCTGTCAAAAGATGGCTAATTAAAATTTTAAAGAGTCTTTAATTTAAAACATTGTGCAAAAATCCAAATTGAATTCAGATAAATGAGGGGAAAATAAACTCTTTGTGGTAATACAGGGGTAACGTGCATTCTTATGATAAAAAAAAGAGTACTGTTTTCCTTAAAGAGTTCATGAAAAGGTGAGATTTAAATGGTTAAAGACAGCATAACCTGAATAAAAGGAATACATGCGACTTCAGGTAAGAGATAATTCCAGTGGTACCTGGGATTGCAATTCGTTTGCGATTAGGAAGAGTTAAAGCACAGAATTTTATTTAGGCAGGTGATGAAGTTGTCATCAGATGAGTAATTTACACAAACACGAAAAGAAAGCCAGCAGAGGGTGGAAGCAAGGAAAGGTAGGCCAGGAGGAATACAGATAAACTGTCTGAGCAGCCAGGGATCAGGTTAGGAAAGCTAAGCCCTGGTAGAATTAAATCTGGCCAGGAACATCAAGGGCAACAAGACAAAGCTTCTGTAGGTATATCAGTGATAAAAGAAGGGCTAGGGAAGATGTGGGTCCTCTCTGAAAGGAAACAGGAGATCTGGTTGCCCAGGATATGGGGAAGACTGAAGTACTCAACGACTGTTGTGCCTCAGTCTTCACTGGCAAGTGCTCCTGCCACACCACCCAGGATGCAGAAGACAAAGGCAGGGACTGGGAGAATGAAGAACTGGCTGCTGCAGGAGAAGATTGGGTCCGAGACCATCTAAGGAACCTGAAGGTGCACAAGTCCATGGGACCTGATGAGGTGCATCCACAGGTCCCGCAGGGGCTGGCGGATGAAATTGCTAAGCCACTGTCCTAAACCCACGTTCCATCGTATTTGAGAAGTCGTGGCAGTGCATTGAAGTACCCACTGACTGGAAAAGGGAAAACATAACCCCCATTTTTAAAAACGAAAACCAGAATACCTGGGGAACTACAGGCCACCGAGTTGCACCTCTGTGCCCAGCAAGATCATGGAGCAGATCATGCCGGAAACTATGCTAAAGCACATGGAAAATAAGGAGGTAATTGGTGACAGCCAGCCTGGCTTCACTAAGGGCAAGTCATGCCTGGCAAATTTGGTGGCCTTTTACAATGGGGTTACTGTGTTGGCAGATAAGGGAAGAGTAATTTATGTCATCCACCTGGACTTGAGCAAACCGTGTGACACTGTCCCACATGACATCCTTGTCTCTGAATTGAAGAGACATGGATTTGACAGGTTGACCACTTGGTGGAGGAGAAATTGGCTGGATGGTTGTACTCAAAGAGTTGCAGTCAACGACTCAATGTCCAAGTGGAGATCAGTGACGAGTGATGTTCCTCAGGGGTCAGTATGGGGACAGGCACTGTTTAACGTCCTTGTCAGCAATATGGACAGTGGGATCGACTGCACCCACAGCACGTTTGCTGACAACACCAAGCTGTGTGGTGCATTTGACAAGCTGGAGGGAAGGGATGCCATCCAGAGGCACCTGAACACGCTTGAGAGATGAGCCTGTGTGAACCTCATGAGGTTCAACAAGACCAAGTGCAAGGTCTTATACATGGATCAGGGCAATCCCAAGCACAAATACAGGCGGGGCAGAGAATGGGCTGAGAACAGCCCTGAGGAGAAGGACTTGGGGATACTGGTGCATGAAAAACTGGACATGACCCAACAATGTGTGCTCACAGCCCAGAAGGCCAAGCGTATCCTGGCTTGTATCAAAAGCAGCATGACCAGCAGGGTGAGGGAGGGGATTCTGCCCCTCTGCTGCGCTCTGGTGAGACCCCACCTGGAGTCCTGCATCCAGCTCTGGAGCCCTCAGTGCATGAAAGACAGGGACCCGTTGGAGTAGGTCCAGAGGAGGGCCACAACAATGATCCAAGGGCTAGAGCATCTCTCCTACGAGGAAAAGCTGAGAGAGTTGAGGCTGTTCAGCCTGGAGAAGAGAAAGCTCTGGGGAGACCTTATTGCAGCCTTCTAGTACCTGAAGGGGACCTACAAGAAGGCTGGAGAGGGACTTTTTACAAGGATATGTAGTGATAGGACAAGGAGTAATGGCTTTAAACTGAAAAAGGGTAGAAATTAGACTACATATAGGGAAGAAATTCTTTACTATGAGGGTAGCGAGGCACTGGAACAGGTTGCCCAGAGAAGTTGTGGCTGCCCCCTCCCTGGAAGTGTTCAAGGGCAGGTTGGATGGGGCTTTGAGCAACGGAAGGTGTCCCTGCCCATGGCAGGGGGATTGGAACTAGATGGTCTTTACGGTCCGTTACACCCAAATCGTTCTGTAATTCTATGATTTACTGGGCAAGGAGGGATATATTGTGTCTTGCTTATGAAGTTGGAATGCAGTGAAAGTCATGGAGGAGTTTTTGCATTGTCTACTATTTTAATTCATCAGTAAGCACCTAGCCTAATAAACAGTTGTTTGACTGTGCATCTGCTATTAATCACAGTGATATAAAATTAGAATAAAACCTTCTAAAGTGGATATGATGAAAAATGTCTTATTGCTTCAATAGGTACATTACTTCTAACTGTAGAAGCTTATGAACGCAAATTTACAGGAGAAAACATAAAATACAGCATTTTCAGCGAGAAGGAAAGCATATTCTCCATACACCCCATTACAGGTACGTTTTTATAAATATATGGTTTTTTTCAAGTGTCTGCTTGTAGCTTAGAGAGTGTGGTCTCTAAAATATAGCAAGTTCCTACCACAAAAACAAGGGGTAGATATCTTAGAGTATTACTCTGCTGTTACAGTGAATAAATCATTAGTAAAATGAGGGACGTGGAGAGACCTGCACTATTTTAAATGATATGGAAAGAAACTGAACACCAGTATACCTGTTTAAAATGCTCAGTTCTGATTAACTGTTGATCACCAGGTGTTGGGAGTTGATAAAACTACTGCTTTGTGATCCAAGATGAGACTCTGTCTTGTTTCTCATCATAAAGTTGCCCAAAAACTCAATTAACATAATCCATTGAAGCACTCCTAATGTAGGAAGTGTTAGACTCATATTGAGTTTAATGCTCTTTGTTTCAGGCAAACCTTGACAAGTCTGAAAATCAAGTTTGTTTATTCTTTTGGCGGTTGTATTTGAGTTCTCCAGTAGGTCTGCTTTCACCTACTCTTCAGTCAGGAACTTTGGATGGCAGGAGAGTGGCGCATTCCCCATGTGCACTTACGTGCTCGCATCTAAGGCTCCTAAAAGAGCATAGCTACTCTGGTTGCCTCCCAGCACCTAAACATCTGCAGCAGGAGAGTTTGCATTCTGAATAGCTGTAGTCTTTCTGGGATGGCATAGACAGTGTAAGCAGCTTTCCTCAGAAACAGTGTAAATAGTCTGTACTCTTAAAAAATGGATTTCTCCCTGAGTTTCTGGAGGCTTTAATCCCTGATTATTCTGACGTCTCCAGACAGCGTGCTGTACTGCTGTAAAGCTGTCATGTTTGGTGCTGATGGACAGTTAAGATTATTTTGTTTTGTTTAGATGAGAGGCACTGTAAGTGCATACGCCATGCTATTACAGGTTTGGGATATAGATATTCATGGCATCATTACTGGAAAATCCATGCAAAACTGAATTTGACTTCTAATGAAATTAACATACAAATAAACTATGTTTGATGTTCAGATGTAATGAAGAATTTTGAGTGTATTACTATATTACCTAGAACATAAAAACAATCACCACGGATTTCCAAGGATATTTCAGGTTTATCATGGAGAAGTGTAGTTGTGCTTGTACTCTCCATAAATTGATACAGTTATTGCCCAGTTTGGATGCAGATGAAGCACTAGATGTAGCCACGCTCACATGAGGGCCAAGAGTCTCTTAAGACACAGCTGGCTCACTGTCACATGTCAAGGAGCGCACATCACGCAGCCACTTTCTTCTCTCTATACCTCTACAAGTAAATCATCTTTGTTTTAGGAAATTGCCAACGTGGTTGTTAATCAGTGAAAACTTAGCTGTCCAAGATTTGTACAGTAATTAGCATGTGGGAGGTGATGTTGGGTAGAGGAAGGACATGGTGGAGAGCTTGTTGGAATTCTGTCGTGTTCAGTGAAGGAGACCACATATGTTAGGGACTTCGTAACTGCATTTGTGTGTGGCTTTTCCTGAATACATATGTCACATCTTGATATTTTTTTAATTTTTATTTTAACAAACAAGGTGCAATTACGGTAAAAGAGCCAAAGTTTCTTGATTATGAAGTTAAGAATAAAACACATCTTTCAGTTTTGGCTGAAAGTAGCTTGAATTCGGCGCTTTGTGGAGTGACAGTTTTGATACAAGATGTGAATGACAATGTACCTAAATTTGAGCAAAGCTATTACAAAGCATCAGTATGGGAAGGCCAAAGTCCTAAAACAGACATTATACAGGTAAGTGGAAATATATCATCACAAGCCTAGTGCTGTAGTTAAAAATAAGTTTGGTTGATCTGTTCATGACTACAATCCTGCCAGGTCTGTTCTGGACCGTTGTCTCTTAAAAACTGAGAATGGAGTTCTTGGTGTTGTTACTACTTTGCATGAATATCTAAACTATTCAATTATTTTTTTTCTAGAGCACATTTCAGATCTTTCACTCAGGTTTGTTAAGTTGAAAGATAATTCTTTATCTTCTTAACAGTTGTGAAACTGGACTTTAATTTTTTTCGTATAGTTGAAAAATACCATTCAAAGCTGCGGTTCTGGTTACAATACAGGCTGGGTCTTGCATTAATGCATCTACTGAAAGGACTATACCAATAAAAAGAATACTTTTAACTCACCAGACTAGTAGAGTCAAACCCAAGTGTTCAATTTAAAATCTGATGCCTAAAGAGCAGCTTGTCTCAATTTAAATGTGCAAACACTTCTTCCTCTGAATGGATCCATTCTCCGAAAGTGTTTCCATCTGGCCACGTTAGAGCAGAAGACGACATCAGTTGGACTAGAAGAACGCATAATTTCCTCAGTACATGTTCTTGCATTGCAAGTCAGGTCACAGTGAGGGTCACGTTAGGTACTAAAGATATTACTCCTCTAATGAATAAATAAATGGAAAGCTACAAATGCCTCCAGGGCAAAGTGATTAGAAAATGATGGACATTGTATTTAGAGAAACATATGTCCAGGAATGGGGAAAAATCAAAAGGCAGTCAACCCAGATGTGTAGTCAAAATTTTATGATAGAATACATTCTGTTATATTTCCTTTATTCAATCTGACTGGCTGCCTCTGCTATGATTTGAATCCTGTACTCATTATAATGATTATTCAGCAACCAGAAAAATACAAAGATGACTTTTTAAAGAATCTGAGGAGTCTTTGAGAAACCTGTTCATTGCTGTTGAATGTTATTTATTCTGTTGGTTTTATAGCTTGCCTCTGCCCTTTTTACATTTTCTGGCTTGTATTTTAAAAAGTAATTAATGAACTATTCCATGAAAGCTCTGAATACTTAATAATTTAATTATTTTATCGTTTGTCTGTTTGTATAGTAGTAATACTTTGAGGGCCAGTCCCGGACCCCTGAGAAAGTGCATTTCTGTGCACTGAACAGAGACAGCGTTCTGACAACAACCTTATAGTAATATAAGAACTGTAAAAGGGTTACATTCAGCCCCAGCACTTTATGTAGATGAATTTCAAATTACTCAGGGAAAGAATTCGTGTGCATCCTATGGCAGTTCATGAGCAGATTTTGTAACCCCACATATAAATCCTGTTGGGGAACAATATGATTATTTGCTTAAATCTGTGCAGTCGAAAGCAAAAGTAACCAGAAGTCTTTTTTAACTTTTTTTTAGTCACTTTTTTAAGGTAGATTTATGTAACCAAACAGTCTTGTTTAACTTAATTTAAAAAGTAACCCCAGTCTTGTTTAAGTTCTTCATCAATGACCTGGATGAAGAGTTAGAATTTACCCTCAGCAAGTTTGCTGATGACACAAAACTGGGAGGAGTGGCTGATACACTGGAAGGCTGTGCTGCCATTCAGCATGACCTGGACAGGCTGGAAAGTTGGGCGGAGAGGAACCTGATGAATTTCAACAAGGGCAAGTGCAGGGTCCTGCACCTGGGGAGGAACAACCCCATGCATCAGTACAGGCTTGGGGTGGACCTGCTGGAGAGCAGCTCTGTGGAGAGGGACCTGGGTGTCCTGGTGGATGACAGGTTAACCATGAGCCAGCAGTGTGCCCTGGCTGCCAAGAAAGCTAATGGGCGCCTGGGATACATTAGGAGGAGTGTGGCCAGCAGGTTGAGGGAGGTTCTCCTTCCCCTCTGCTCTGCCCTAGTGAGGCCCCATCTGGAGTACTGTGTCCAGTTCTGGGCTCCCCAG